CCCTGGGAATTCAAACCTGGGAATTCATCCCTGGGAATTCATCCCTGGAGTTCATCCCTGGAGTTCATCCCTGGGAGCTCAACCCTGGAGTTCATCCCTGGAGTTCATCCCTGGGAATTCAACCCTAGAGTTCATCCCTGGGAATTCATCCCTGAGAGTTCAACCCTGGGAATTCATCGCTGGGAGTTCATCCCTGGGAGTTCATCCCTGGAGTTCATCCCTGAGAATTCAACCCTGGGAATTCAACCCTGGGAATTCAACCCTGGGAATTCAAACCTGGGAATTCATCCCTGGGAATTCATCCCTGGACTTCATCCCTGGGAGTTCAATCCCTGTGAGCTCAACCCTGGAGTTCATCCCTGGGAATTCATCCCTGGAGTTCATCCCTGGGAATTCATCCCTGGGAATTCATCCCTGGAGTTCATCCCTGGGAGTTCAATTCCTGTGAGCTCAACCCTGGAGTTCATCCCTGGGAATTCACCCGTAGAATTCATCCCTGGGAGCTCAACCTTGGGAATTCAACCCTGGGAATTCAAACCTGGAGTGAGTTCATCCCTGGGAATTCATCCCTGGAGTTCATCCCTGGGAATTCATCCCTGGCTCCCTGCAGAGCTCTGCCCCAAGGCAGAGGGGCACGCATCGCTTGATGCAGATTCCAGCTTTTTGTAGGAAAAAAATTCAAAATAGAGGAAAATCTGAGCTCCAAAGGAGGGGTGGAGAAATTTGGGTCGTGGCTTTAGGTACCAATTCCAGCTCAGAGCCACGGGAATTGCAGAATCATGGAATGGGTTGGGTGGGAAGGGCACCTGAAGATCACCCAGTGCCACCCATCCATGGCAGGGACACCCCCCACTGTCCCAGGGGCTCCAGCCTTTCCTTGGACATTCCAGGGATCCAGGGGCAGCCCCAGCTGCTCTGGCAATCCCAGCCCAGCCAGGAATTCCTCATTCCCAAGATCCCATCCCTGGCTGCCCTCTGGCAGTGGGAGCCATTCCCTGGGTCCTGTCCCTCCATCCTTGTCCCCAGTCCCTCTGCAGCTCTCCTGGAGCCCCTGGAATGTGCTGGAAGCTCTCCCTGGATCCTTCCTTTCTCCAGGGGAACATTCCCAGCTCTCCCAGCCCTGCAGCAGCTCCATGGATTCCTCTGGGCTCTCTCCACAGCTCCAGGTGCTGCTGCTGTCCCCAGGGCTGGGGCAGCTCAGGTGGGGTCTCACCTGAGCACAGGGGCAGAATTCCCAAATTCCCCCTTTTCCTGCTGCCCACACTGTGAATTCCCCAGGATGGGACGGAATTTTGGGCCCAGCACACGAGGCTGGGTCGCATCCACTCTGTCCCCTCACCACCACCCCAAGCCCAAGGTCCTTTATCCCA